ATACACTTCACTGACCAAATATTATAGCTTGGCCTAGCCTGCCTTAAATGTGCTCATAGTAGTTACAAAACCCTACAATTGGATATCATATGTGCATCAGTCCATTTTTTCCTATCCAAGGAAAAGGCCAAATTTAATATCAAAGTACAGTGTCTACTAAATGTATATTATTTTTACACAAATGTGAAGTAAAAATAACTGCAAATTGAACTGTGAATTGAATTGAATTTAGTTCTGGGAACTTAAATATCTATCTTCTCACCATTTCTGATGCATGCTTCATCAGAGCAATAAACAGAATTTATTTCAAATTTGAACTCAAATGTTAATGCAAACTATATGTTTTATAACCTACATATCTTTTGTGAATGATGCATGTCATAAAATACATTATTCTGCCTTTTTCCTACTTTGTTCTTGATGAAAAATACGGTACAGGGTTCATCGCAGACATTCTGGAAATCCCATTATTCACTGCTGAAGATCTTCAGAATCTTTTCTCACTTCCTCACATGATAAAAAATTTGGTATATGGCAGAAGTTTTCCACACATGTGCAGGCACTTACTAAGGTTTAACTGAACTTCTAACTGAATTATAATGGCCCCTGTGTTGGTAGCTACTGTTTTTCTAGCATTTTCTTATATGTACTCCTACTTATCAATCAACATGCTGTTAAAATGAGCTCTGATCACATGGTTCTATTTTTCCATAGCTCAAGAACTTACAGGAACATTCATAATATAAATTCAGGTCTCAATTACTTCACAGAAGTTTGAACCAGCAATAACCCACATACAATAATAATTCTGTGACTCCAAAGTTTGGAAACGGGTCTTACAAACCCATATGCACCACAGAAATATGTGAAGTCTGTATTGGAAGTGTCAGGGAAATGGTCTTGCTTTGAATGCATTGCTCCTCCCCTCCTCCAAGTTAGCATACTTTGCACAGAGGGAATTCCTTATAATACATTGTTTCTACAATGGGAAGTAAAATCTGGGGTCAGATATTCATCTTCTCTATCATTTCATGATGAAAATGCCTCTAACATATTGGCAATTCAATATTTTTGTAAGTAAGCAAAAAAAATGTTTTAGTAATTTACAAAATTACCATATTGTTCCAGGTAAGGAATATCCTGGGAGACAGAAGGACTAAGAAACAATAATGAAAAACATCAGTATATATGTTTATTAGTGAATATACCTGATTTATCTAGAAAGCTGTGGGAAGAAAGGAGATACAGAAATAAGAAACAAGACAAGATTAGTCATAGTTGTAACACAAGTCTACTAAAGCATGCATATTATATTCTGTACATCACATGGGCATGAAGAAAATCTCTTCATGAGTAACAGCAGGAAAAATTCAGGCTCATCAATTTCCTTTGCTACTACTGCTTCTATTAGAATGTGTCTTATATAACTTTCTTTAATGAATAAATTCCTTGTATTTTATATATAAATGCAGGGTATAAATAGACAGACAGAGACATCTGGCTTCATGGTCATTTTAAGGTCATTTGAACCTCGATGTACTTCCTAAAAGACCTGTTAAGCATTTTATTTATCTTACCCCATTTACAGTTCTCCCAAAGATTCTTGAAGCCACACAATTATGAGCAAATGGAGAGTGTACAGTGTAAGTCTGGATATGTCATTGATATTCCCTTTTTCTATGTTAGTACCAGAAATCATGAAATCCCAAAACAAATATTACTCTTTTTATCTGCTTTCTAACATTCATGATATGGGGGTGGTTGTGCTACTCCTTTGGGGGGTCGTGTGTTTGCTTGTTTTGGAGTCCTGAGCTCATGCCATTATCACTACTTTCCTACTATCTTACCAACTTTTATAAATGAATAGGGACAGCAAGCGTACATTAAGTCGTCCATCCCTGTGCAGCAACCGCTGGCTGAGTGACTCAGACGCCAAGGGGCACACTGAGCCACAGCAGCCAGAAGACTGATGGCTGAAGCTTCTAGCTCATGGTGGACTCCATCTTATCAGAGCGGAAGGGACAGGAGCCCTGACACCCCATAGTCTTTTCCCTGTTTTGTTTTGTTCTGTTTTTTTTTTTTTCTGGTTCACAGAGCTGACCTTGTTTCTTATTGCCCTTGGGGGAGGACCCCAGCCTCCCAGTGTTTTCTGAGTCAACCTCTTGGCAGGAGATTTGGGAAGGTAGCAGTCTGTGCAGGTCTGGTATGCACAAGTGCAGGGGACAAAAGGCACTCGGGTGGGGAGAGGCATGTGTGAGGTGGGAAAGGCCAGCTGGGAGTTGGGAGAGCAGAGGGCTGTGTTCCAGGACTGCCCCTGCCCCAGATCCTCTGCACCCTAACTGGAGTGCTCTTAGCTGCGACGATCTGTGCCCATGTCTTTGGGGAGCTGCCCTGTCTCCAGGAAGAGCCAGAGGTTGCTGCATTTCTGCGACTCCACTCTTGTCACCCAGTAACTGGCCACAGAACCTGCAACCGCAGCCATCAGCAGGTTCCACTGCACAGGGTATGGAAACTTTCTCTGAATGAACATCTGCAGGCCCAAGGTCGCACCGGTGCCTGTGACAAAGGTAAAAACACCCTTCATGAAGGCGGTTTTAGACTGTACGGCACCATGAACGCAAACCAAATAACCTTGCACTGTGATCCTCATTTGATAAGAGAGACAGAAATAAACTGAGATTTTGTGCCACTGTTAGTTAATATCTGCCTGTCCCAGTGCTAAATGCTTCATATACCTTACTTCATCTTACCCTTACAATCACAGACTAGTTCTCTTTGACACACAGAAAACACAAAGCTAGTAGTAACTAATTGATCCAAGGGCAAAATATCAAATGGTGGAGAAGTTTCCTTTTCAATAAACATGAATCAAAAATTTCTTTCCTTAAGCACTGTGCTTTGCAGATTTATGTGGTATAGTAGAATATTCTATCACACAACTTTGGACTGTGGACATCTAAGGCTCCTTCAATCTAATTTACAGGAATACAAATCAAATCCACTTACATAAAGTAGTCTCTGCAAAAAGAGAGTGTGACAGTGATAGTTCAAGGATGTAAATGGCTCCTGTATGCAGGAGGGTTTGATCATTTTGGCCTACATAGTTTTAAGATCAGATGGGTTCTTCTATGTAGTGAATTGCTAGAATTGAAATGTAAAAAAGTCATGATTCGATAATAGCAGGTTGTGATACCAACCTTGTGGACAGAGGTGCTGGAGCAAGAAAGTTGGAGAAGGCAAGTATGTCATACAAGTAATTTTTATGACATTGAGGTTATTCTAAACATGGAGACTGTGTGCTCAGGAGCTCTCACAAATGCTATCACACTCTACCCTCCACCCTGCAAATAGCATAGAAGAGGGCAATGATGGGATTCCATGAACTTCTAAGCTGTAGTCTCCAGTGACCACAGAGCAATTATAGTCCATTGGGTAAACATGAAACACAAGACTTGAAGACACAGTATGTCCCTCTGTGTGTGTATATCAAAGAACTTCAGATTAAAGAGGAGGAATAAGATGGGATGAATAAAGATTGGGAGTTGAAGAAATTAAATGTACAAAATAAAAAGTTCTTTTTACTTCTCACTTCGTCATACAGTAAAAAGTAAAGTGGTTATGGCCAATTCAAAAAAATTCTGAGCAACAATAGCAGATTGGGTAGAGGAAGATTACATATACAAAGTTAGTACATAATCTGGGAATTTTCTCTCTCATCTTTAACTAGGCAACTAGAAGGATAAATTTCTGTTAAAGATCCAAAAGTCCAAGCTGTCTATTACTGAAGAAATATCATAACCTTAGGACACTGGTAAAGGGAAATCCCCGGGATTACAATATATTCTCATCTATGACAAATTCAGTAGAATTATGTTTCCTGTAATAATTTTTCCTACCATTACAAAAACAAAACAAATGAATAAAGGATAACTCTATATAATGCATATTAATCCCTCCATTTGGTTATCCTTCCGATGAAAAAGTCCAACTAGATAAAGATTATGGTGTGAACTGAAGCAGTTAAACTACGGCTTTTTGAACTTTGCTGCCCTTAACTTTTTTTTTAATTATTCATTTATTCACATGTGCATACATTGTTTGGGTCATTTCTCCCCCGCTGCCCTTCTCCACCATCCTCTCTGCCTGCCCCCCACTTCCAGGCAGATCCTGTTCTGCCCTTATCACTAATTTTGTTATAGAAAAAACATAAGCATAACAAGGAAGACAAGCAGTTTTGCTAGTTGAGTTAAGGATAGCTATACAGAGATTGCATTCATCTACACATGTGTAACAACCAATGTTGAGTCATCTCTAACTGATCTTTACAATGGTTACTGATCCCCTTCTCATGTTAACCTCTGTCACTTTAAGGTTTTTGTATTAGTTCCTCTGGAGTGGGGACATCAAACACTTTCATGTTTTGGGTTTTCTACCTTTTCCTATATCTCCCATATGCGATCAAACCTTGTCATGTGATCCAAGTCCAACCACATTGCTGCATTTGCCCTAGATCTAAAGTTTACTTTTTGAGCCTGGCTAACCTCGCTCAGAATGATGTTCTCCAGTTCCATCCATTTACCTGCAAACTTTTAAAATGTGCATTTAAACTTTTAAAATGTAATTTTACATAAAAGTCTAAAGGTATAGAATTAAATTTTCAATGAAGTTGATCATTCATGAAAAGGGAACAAACTTTCTTTATATTTTCTCTTTCATCAGATCAAAGATTAGTAATTACCTGTTTTTGAATAAGAGCACTGGCCTAAGATCTGTATACTAAGTTGGTGAGGGTTTTAACTGTGTTAGGATTCTAATAAAGGAGAGTGCAATTCTACTCAGTATAGTGGAAGAATTAAAGGATATTTCTGCATCAGTTGAGTTTGTTTCTGGCATACATAGCAAAAACCTCACACTTGTGAGCCAAAATATTATAAGAAGTTCGGGGTTGCTTATGTCATCTTTTTTTTTTTTTCCGTGTCCACAGATCCTCTTACAGAAGAATGCCTCTTGCAAATGGCTCTTTTGTGACTGAATTCATTTTGGAAGGCTTAACACAACGGTCTGACCTCCAAATGCCCCTGTTCTTCCTATTTCTAGCAATATATGTAGCCACTGCTTTGGGAAATTTAAGCTTGATAATTCTAATTGTGCTAAATTCTCATCTTCACACCCCCATGTACTTTTTCCTCATGAACTTGTCCTTCATAGACCTCTGTTATTCTTCTGTGGTTACACCAAAAATGCTAATGAACTTTATGTTAAGGAAGAATGTTATCTCTTATATGGGCTGTATGACTCAACTCTACTTTTTTTGTTTTTTTTGTCATTTCTGAATGCTATGTACTAACTTCAATGGCCTATGACCACTATGTGGCCATTTGCAATTCACTTTTGTATAACACTGCCATGTCTCCTAAAGTGTGTTCCTATCTTGTACTTGGTTCCTACGTGATTGCATTTTCTGATGCCATGATCCACACTGGGTGCATACTGAGACTGACTTTCTGTGATAGAAATACCATCAACCACTTTTTCTGTGACCCTGTACCTTTGCTCCAGCTCTCCTGCACCAGCACCTATGTCAATGAGGTAGAAATTTTCATAGTGGGGGGAAAAGACATCACTGTGCCCATTATCATCATCCCACATAAGGTGGGATTTCTATAAAAGAAAAGAATCAGTCAATAAATATAACATACTCTATATTTTCAAGAGAGGATCTTTAAAGTAGAAAATTAGTTATACAGATATTGCAGGGAGGAAAGAGTGAAAAGTTACAAATAAGAAAATATAACGATTTATGAACTAGAAACAGTAGCTCTCATTCCAAGAAATAGGGAAAAACAGACAAGGGTGCAATAACCAGATACTAGAATCTCAAAAGAGGAGTTCCATGGGATTGGCAAATGGATTATTTGATGGTTGGTGGTGACCAATAGTCAGTTCTTTACCTTCTTAAATAGGGACACAAACTAGAGGTCTGTGAGACCACCATGCGGGGAGACCAGCTAGGAGGACTGACAATGGTTCTAGCCCCTTACGGGGCACAGTCCAAGCAATGCAATGAGGAATCACAGCATAAAGCGTGAGGGAGTGCTGTCCACCCATTGTCTACATAGTAATGGGCTGCAGCATGCTAGATACACCTGCATGGGCATACCGACCGTTTGACTGCCTCCCTTTAGGATGTCTTTAAAAACATGTCCACTTTTTAAGTGGTCTCTTGCTATTGAGATAACTTTGCATTAGAAGTTGTTATATATTCTGGACAAAACAAATTTATCTGGTATGAGTACTGCAAATGTATTTTTCTATACTTGGGTTGCCTACAAATATTGTGTTGATAGTCTTCTCATTTCAGTGAAATTTATTCTGCCGTTTTTCTTCTGAGTTTATTGCTTTCTAAGGTGTGACTAAGAGCTCCAAGCCAACATCATCAGAGTAGTTTTTTATCTTCACTTACAGAAGTTTTATAGTTTAAGTGCTGTGCATGATGCTGATCCATTGTAGAGGAATTGTACCTGTTCAGTGAGGTAGAGGTCAAGGTTGATTGGATTCTTATGCATATGTAGTATTCTGGCATTAATTATGTGACAAACTTTCTTTAATGGAATTTCTTTTGTGCATCGTTAAAATTCAATTGACTACATAAATAAAGATCTACTTTTGAAACTTGTATTCTAAGTGATGGATTTATTTATCATTATCACAAAAGAAATCTGCCTTGATTATCACACAATTAAACAATTCCAAAACCACATAATACAAGTCTTATCTGTCATTTAAGTCCTCCTTAAAAGATGAATAAAAAAAATGAGACTTGCAAAACTTTTACTATGATTCATGCTTGTGAAGTATAAAGTAGGAGCTCTCAGGAGTCAGTGATGAAGGCCTCAGACCAGGAAGGAAGTCTGATGCCAAAGAAAGGAGGAATGGAAGAATTGTGTTGGAAAAACCGTCTGAAGTGCATTTTAACTGTTCTTGGTCAGGGTGATGGAAAGTCTTTAAGCCTAGCAGAAGAAATCTCTGTTAGGCCAAAATTCCCAAGTTCACATGACCCACACCATGCTTAGTGACTGGCTGGGGCATTTGACAGTAAGCCTAGCCTCTTCCTGAACACTGAGATGCTCAAAAGAAGTATCAGCTCTAGACTTCCAAGAACTTGTGCCATATTGCTGCTTCTCTTGATAGGGAGCTGAGTAGGTTTCTATTAGTATGCCACAGTCCATTACAAAAGATAAACTAAAACCAAAGGTTTTTTTCATTTATTAGTGATGTTATTATTTATTACATTTTATTATTCATTGTTTGCAATAATAAATTTCTATTATTAAACAAACAATATACTCTAATTAAACAATTGTTTCTTAATCCCAAATACTTCTAACATAAATATGTGAGTGAGAAAAGCATCATCTTCATCTCTTATGGTGTCATCCTTTCCAGCATCATCAAAATCAGGTCTACTGAGGGCAGGTCTAAAGCTTTTGGCACCTGCACTTCCCACATAATTGCTGTTTCTCTATTTTTTGGGTCTTGTGCATTTATGTATCTCAAACCTTCTTCGGCTGGAACTATGGATGAGGGAAAAATCTCATCTGTATTTTATACCATTGTGGTTCCCATGTTGAACCCCTTAATCTTCAGCTTAAGGAACAAAGATGTTAAAGTTGCTCTGAGAAAAACCCTGCACAGGAGATGTTGATCAGAAACTGAATATTTATGTTCCTAAGGTTACCACACAGAGAAATTTTGTGTGTTCAATTAGTTTGTTCTTAGTGACAGTTTTCTTTTTTTTATTGTTTTATTATTCACATGTGCATACAAGGCTTGGGTCATTTCTCCCCACTGCCTCCACCCCCTCCCTTACCACCCACTCCACCCCCTCCCTCTCCCCCTACCCCCTCAATACCCAGCATAAACTATTTTGCCTTATCTCTAATTTTGTTGAAGAGGGAGTATAGGCAATAACAGGAAGGAACAAGTGTTCCTGGTTGAGATAAGGATAGCTATACAGGGAGTTGACTCACATTAATTTCCTGTACGTGTGTGTTACCTTCTAGGTTAATTCTTTTTGATCTCACCTTTTCTCTAGTTCCTGGTCCCCTTTTCCTATTGGCCTCAGTTGCTTTTCAGGTATCTGCTTTAGTTTCTCTGCGTTAAGGGCAACAAATGCTAGCTAATTTTTTAGGTGTCTTACCTATCCTCACCCCTTCCTTGTGTGCTCTCACTTATATCATGTGCTCAAAATCCAATTCCCTTGTTGTGTTTGCCCTTGATCTAATGTCTGCATATGAGGGAGAACATACAATTTTTGGTCTTTTGGGCCAGGCTAACCTCACTCAGAATGATGTTCTCCAATTCCATCCATTTACCAGTGAATGATAACATTTCATTCTTCTTCATGGCTGCATAAAACTCCATTGTGTATAGATACCACATTTTCTTAATCCATTTGTCAGTGGTGGGGCATCTTGGCTGTTTCCATAACTTGGCTATTATGAATAGTGCCACAATAAACATGGGTGTGCAGGTGCCTCTGGAGTAACCTGTGAGTGACAGTTTTCTTATGCCATTTTTATTTTAAGAAATAAGGGGCAGTTTGAGGTTTGATATGTTTGTAGTTACTATAAATAAGTTTTCCTTATTTTCTCACTTTTACACAGTTTCCTTTCACCTTTTTCTATCTGATTAAGAATAATTTTTGTGCACTTCATTCTATAAAACAATGAATGGTTTTACCATTGTTTGGATAAAGTAACTCTCTTTTGACAGTGTGTCGTTTCACAGGACACTTCCTGTTTGCCACCTTTAATGAAGCGTGAGTTGGACAGTCTGCTTATACTCTTGGCTTGTGTATCTACTGAGCAGGAATATATCACTTTCAAAACTGTTTCACAAAACTGGTTTCACAGAACTGGTGTTACTACATAAATTATTAAATACACACATCCTGAAGCTGTACAAACTGTGCATTAAACTTCCTTTGCAATATGCTGTGTTTAACTTGTAAAGATAAGGCAGCACCTTCTACATTGGCAATGTATATTTGTCATAGGAACAAGATTCTGGTGCTCAGAAAAATTAACAGCTTGAGTCACAGCATTTCTTAAATAAAATATCCAGAAAAAGCAGTTAGTCTCTTGGTTTCAAATCAACCCCCTTTTGATTATACCAACTGTCTACTTCATTTTATTAGTTTTATTTCACTGAACATAAAATAAGAGGTAACATTTCTACTTTGGAATCTGACCATGCATTGTCCTTGATTAAAACCCATTTATCAGCTTTTGTTGTAGTACTCTTTTGTTCAGGAAAACAATTTTGTTCTTTTTGATGGAAAAATAAAAGAAAGCTTCTTAGAACAGTATTATTGGTAGATAATTGGCTCAAGTTGAGCTCAATCTGGAGTCTAATTTGTTTAGCAAAAATAATTTGAAATGTTTGCAAGTTATTGTATTAGGGAGCCCAAAGGCTTGTGAGAAGATGGAACATATATACCCAAGACTCATACAGATACATGATCTATAAATAAGAGGTGTCTTTATGGAGAGTGATCAATGAAAATTTAACAGAAGTTTAATCCACATTCGTGTTATTCTATAAAGTACTGTCAGTAGCACCCCCTGGTCATAAAGCTTTGGTAAAACTTATGAACCATGAAGTCTCTACTTTAACTATGCTTGGAGGAAATGACATTGAACATGCTTTAGAGACATTTGTGGGCAATGGAGAAAGTACAAGACAACTTCAGAAAGCCATAGAGAAAGGACTTATCAAAACACAAACTAGGAAAAATAGCAGTGTCTGACTTCTCTTCTTGAATGATCCTAGAAATATGAAGAATATATGATTTGCTGATAATGACATTAGCTTATTTTAGTCATTACTAAATAAATAAACCACAAGACAAGGAGAATTTTGAAACAACTAAGTCCCTCCTGTTTTTCTTGGCTCTCATATGATGTTCTCCTATGGAATCTAAGGAGCTAACATCTCATATTTAAGCTGGAAAAGCAGTGAGAATCAAAAGGTATATGTAATTGGTGATTAAAACACATTGTGATGAAATCTTTTTGATAGTAGGAGTATTGTTAATTTTCTTTTTGAGAAAATTGTTGCTCCAATACCAGATGACAATTTAAATATTTTCTGAGATAAATGTGGTAATATATGCTATTTCCATATTTTTCTCTCTCCTTTTAATGTTGTTATTCTGAAAGTAATAAAACTGATTGTTAGTTGAGTTGCTTCTTTTTAGATGACTGCAGTACTAAATGCTTTATTTATGGTGTGAAGCGAACACTTGTTCCTCTCCAATGGCTCCAGTATCAACATGCTTTTATTTTACTCTAGGGAGTCTACTTACATAAAGGAGTTATACATGGTTGTAAGGTTGTTTTTAATTTTTTCTTTGCATACTTATTATCTTGGTAAAAATTTTTCCTTCTTGAAGAATAATTTATTCAAATAAGAAGATATTGTCCATTCTCATTAATACTCTTGAAGGAATTGCAGGGGTGTGTTCATTCCTTATGATTTCATTACTATTAAAATCACTATGAATGGGGCAAACTGGATTATTAATCCTTGATTTGATGAAAGAGAAAGTACAAGGAATGTCTTTTTGTTTCTCATGAAAGATCACTTCATTTAAAATTTAATTGTATACATTTATCCATTTTAAAATGTTTTAAAAAGTTAAATGTGCATTGTGAAAGTTAAGGGCAGTAAAGTTTGAAAAAAGGCAGTTTATAGCTTTAATTTTGTCATAATCTTTATTTGTGTCTTTGAATTTCTTTTTCAAAGGAAGGATAATCAATTCTGGGTATTTACATGTGCTATATAGAGTTATCCTTTTTTTGTTTGTTTGTTTTGTTTTTGTAATGTGAATTGTAGGAAAATTATTAGAAGAAACATAATTCTCTTGAAGTTGTCATAGATGAGAGTATATTGTAATTCCTGGGATTTCCCTTTGCCAGGGTACTAGGGTGGTGATGTTTCTATAGTTGTAGGACATAACAGAAAGTGATCTTCGTAGTCTCCAAGTTAAAGATGGGAAAGAAAATTTACATTATTATACCCTGAAAATGCATAATGTAATCTTCCTCTAACTAAACTGTTATTTTTAGTTGGAATTAGCTTTTGACTGGCCATGATCTATGCAATCTGGTTGTAGGCTGATGAAGTCAGAAGCAAAAAGAAAGTTTTTTTCTGTGTTTTTTATTTCTTCAACCACTAACCTTTCTTCAACCCATATTTTTCCTCCTCTTTATTCTGAAATTGTTTGCTGTCCCTCTGCTGCAGTGGCCTTTTCTTGTGTTTCATGTTTGCCTCAATGGACTATGATCACTTTGTAGCCATTGTAGTCCATTGCTGTAGAAGTTTGTGGTGAACCATCATACCTGTCCTGATTTTGAGGGACAGGGGTTATGTGATAGAGTTTGTGGGAGTGTCTGCCCACACATGCTTCATGTTTAGATTAATATTCTCAATGTCAATGTCATCAAAACTTACATGTGTGACATACTTGCCTTCTTCAACTTTCCTGCTTCATCATCCCTGTCCAAAAGATAACATTTTCATTGTCATAGGGAATAATAACACAATTCCCAATTCTGTATGATAGAGTAATGTCTAGTTCATATGGTGACTGCAAAGGTAAAATGAGGTAAGGTCTACAATGCATTTCTCACTGTGACAGGCAGACAGTGACTAATAGTGGAATAGAGCTCTTCATGAGCTGGGAGCTTTAACCATCACTTTCCTGGCCTCTGTGGGCTGAGTGTGCACTTTGGTGTCTGAGTCATTCAGCCAGAGATTGCTGTATAAGATCAATGATTTAACGTATAATTGTTGTCTGTATTCATTTCTGAAAATCAGTAACATGGTAGAAAGAGAGCAAAAATGACTTTATCTCAGAATTATAAAACAAATAACAAATAGCACTGTCCCAGCAGGAGAAACACGACAACCCCTATACCTTGAAATTTAGAAAGTAGATAAATGAGCAGTATTGCTTTGGAACCACATGAGTTCTGGTACTTAGGACAAAAGAATATCAGTGACACATCTTGATTTACACTATGCATTCTCCATTTGCTCATAATTTTGTGGCACCAGGTATCTTTGGGAGAACTGAAGGTAAGAATAGAATCAATGAAACGCTTAAAAGACCTTTCAAGAAGTATTTGGAGCTTTGAATGTCCTTAAAATATCAAAATAGCCAGATAACTATTTGTTTTCATTCCCTCTATTTATATATAAAATACTAGAAGTTTAAGATAGCTACATGTGAAATTTCCTTGTGGCACTTCTCTGTATATAGGTATATAGCCTGGTTTGGTTCATTTCCTCTATTTTTCTAATTTTTACTTCAGTCCCTTTCTTGTGTTTGTTTCAACTAGTTTAAAAATTTCACAACCATTCTTGTATATAGAGTGCATCAACCATGTTCACCTTAACTTCTTTCTTTTACTCTCCCTCTGTCATGTGTGATCTCTCCTTGGTGTGTCTTGTTTTTCAAAATATTGCTACATTTTTATTAGGTCTATCGTCTACATATGAGAGAAACATGTGACTTTTGGCCATTTGAACCTGAGTAACTTCACTTAATATGATGTTCTCCAGTTTCATTCATTTACGGGCAAATGACAAAATTTCATTCTACTTTGTGGTTGAATAGAATTCCACGGTGTACAAGTA